CAATACGTCTGCATAGGTCCCTAACTGTAGCATGTGTCACTGTCACGTCTTGGCTGGCACGTGTCCTGTCTTCTCCTAGGTAAACTTTCATGTCATAAGTATACCCAGCGGTGTCACAAATTTTGAAGATTTTGATTCCGAAACGTTTGTGTTTCTTAGGAATGTACTGTCTAAAACCACCCTCCCTTTGTATTTTACAACTATTTTGTCAATGGCCAAATCTTCGGAAGGGTTATAATATTTTTCAAATGCGTCATTGAGTGTCGAAGATGGTCCGAATTTTCCATAGTCATAACTGTCGGCATTCCTGTCAATTTCTGTACTGTTGTCTGCAAAATGAAGAAAACGAAGAATGTGTAGAAAACGGTCGCGTTTCATTGTCTTAGAGTAGAAAGGCGTGGCAAATTGTTCTAGAGTCGGCCAGTAGTCCTTTAGTCTGCCTCTATTGTCATGTCCCATTTGAATGATTATTCCTAGGAACAGAAACATCTCGGATTCGGTCACGTCAGGCTGCGGAGAAGGTCCGTCTTGACATCTTTCTACGTGCTGATGGTAGTACCTGTTCATCTCTTCCACCAGCAGACGGATAATCCCTGCAAAATACAGTATGAAAACGCAGAAAGGGGTGGAATCCTTATTCACGTGTGGAGCTTCATTGGTATTTAACCCCACAGCTCCACCTGAATAATTATTCACACTCCTCTTGCCACGCTGCTGTGGTGGTCCCCTGGTTGCCGACGAAGATGATGGGTCTTCGTCGACTTCGGGTTCTGAGCCCGTTATTTCCTCGCCACTATCAGAATATTCTGTACCACAGTCTGAATCGGTGTCAATTATCAGCTGCTTCTCAATTTCGTCTTCTGCCAAGTGAAATGAGGCCATGCTGGCTAGTTTCAATTGCGATGTTTTATTCACAACACAACGTGCTAGGATAGAACATTCTGGTAGTGAGGGTCTATGCGAGAACAGTACCTCTTTGTGGTTAGTTTGATATATGCACAGTCAGGTTTTCTGAAGGACAATTCTAATCGCATTGCTTATAACACATCGCAATTTCAACTATCCACCATGGCCCCATTTCGCATGCAATAAGCCGATATTGAGATGCCGCTCATAAAGTACACCGATTCAGAATGCATTACAGACGAGAGTGAAAGGCATTGCGGGGGTATTCCAAGAACTGTACCTCTGTGTGTTTAGTCCGAGATGTAAACAGAATCTTTACGCTTATAAAACATCGCAATTTGAACTATCCAACATAGCTCCACTTTGCATGGAAGATGGGATTGAGAGGCCTCTCATAAATCACACCGATTCAGAATGCCGTACAGACAAAACTGAAAGGCATTGCGGGGCTATTCCAAGAAGAGTAACACTGTGGCTAGCCCGAGATATAAAGAGGCCGTGTTTCTGAAGTATAAATTACGATAAGACTTGCACCCACTCGTGCAATAGTAGAAAGGTTACGATGTGACTCGAGAATGTGCAGGACAAACATTACCTTCCTCCCCCTTTGAAAGATGAGACATAGGAAGAGAGGATGCCAGCAGCATGCATTTATAATGCAGAAACGTTTTGTGCAGAAACTTTCTGCATATTTGTGGACAGACACTGAAAATTGGGGAACAAATTTTTTTTTTTGGAATCAGTGTAACAATTTTTACAGATTCTAAAATCTGTAAATTACAATATCTGATTCTAGATTCTTTCTAGATAAAAGCAGCGTTTATTTCATTCATTTATCACAAAAATTGTATAAATCACAGCATTTTGAATAACATGATTACAATTTTTATTACTCTACAATGGCGGGCATTTAAATTAACTCCGTCCCGCTACCACTACCGGAATTTAAATGTCCCGTCTCTTAAATGTTAAGTCTGTGCTAGATTGTGGCTGACACACAACTCACTCATGACCTCTTAGCCGGTGGGTTGGTCAGTTAAATTACTGCTGGCCTTCACTAGCAGTCATTCCTGGCTTCAATCTCCTTGAGATCCATGAACAAAATTTTTATCCTCTCCTATACACATATGTATTTTGAAATGGAGCCTCCTCTCCTACAATGGAGGGGTTGGTCTTTCTTTCATATGTAGGTGCTACATTTGTTGCACTGTGGTTTCAGTATGAGTATATCTGTGCTGTCACGATGTCCAGGTCACTGTGGACTCTTTGTCACTGTACAGTACTATTGTTTCTTTTTTGTTATTGCTAGTGGGGTGGGACTAAGTCCCTTGTACTGTGGACACTTCTGGCCTATTGTACCAGCCCAAGATGATAGGTGAGGATGATTGTGGCGCAGTTGGCGGAATGAAGATTGGCAGGAGAAACCGAAGTACTCAGAGAAAACCTGCCCCAGCGCCACTTTGTCCACCACAAATCCCACTTGACTGACCTGGGATCGAACCTGGGATGCTGCGGTGGGAAGCCAGTGACTAACTGCTTAAGCTATGGCGCGGCCATCTGTACAGTACTAAGTTACATTTATACAAGATATACAGAGGCTTTCTGTCAGTGCAGGCTTGTTGAATTGAATTGAATTGAATTTATTTACATTCTATAAATCCTAAGCAGGTTAGTACCTTTGGATACAGAACAAGTCAAAATGTTACATACATAAGTACAGGCAATTTTAGCTTAAAAATTAATATAACTTAATTTTACATCATTCTCTATTTACATTGAAGTATTCATCAACAAGTTATGACTAAGCTTATGTAAGTAACTACTCTGAATCTGCAGTTAGTCAGCTGAACAATCGTAGGCCTCACCACCACAAAATTTAAGCCTCTTATACTACTATGCCTAGCCTCTCCTTGTTCAATAACACATACATTTGGATTTACATGATTTAGGATTAATTCTACCTATGTCCTACATAATTTAGTTATATAGTCATACACATAAGGAATTTTGAAAGCCATCTGCAATTCAACCTGTCAAGATTTCCAGTAGCACGGAGTATGAATTTCTGCTGGCACTGCAATTTCAAGAGGTGGGCATCTGCCTCATGCTCCCAGGTGGGACAGGCATCAGTCATAGCTGTAATAATCATAGATTTGTAAAGCACAAAGAGGGAAGTATTGTACAATATTCTAACAGAGTTTGGGATACCCATGAAACTAGTTAGGTTGATTAAAATGTGTTTAAACGAAACATATGGTAAAGTCCGTGCAGGTAAACATTTGTCTGATAAATTTCCTATCCAGAATGGTCTAAAACAAGGAGATGCTTTATCGCCACTCTTTTTCAACTTTGCCTTAGAATATGCAATTAGGAAGGTCCAGGGAAACCAGGTGGGACTGAAATTAAATGGGACACATCAGCTGTTGGTCTATGCCGATGATGTGAATCTACTGGGTGATAATGTAGATACCATAAAGAAAAAACACAAACTTTAATTGACGCAAGTAAAGAGGTTGGTCTAGAAGTAAACACAGAAGAACTAAGTATATGTTACTGTCTTGTCACCAAAATGCAGGGAAAAATCATGTCATAAAGGTAGGAAACAGATGTTTTGAAAACATGGCACAGTTCAGATATTTGGGAACAACGATAACAGATCAAAATCTAATTCATGAGGAAATTAAGAGGCGATTGAACTCAGGTAATGCTTTCTATCATTCAGTCCAGAACCTTTTGTCTTCTCGTCTGTTGTCCAAACACATAAAAATTAAAATATACGTGTACAAAACTATAATTTTGCCTGTGGTTCTGTATGGGTGTGAAACTTGGTCTCTGACATTAAAGGAGGAACATAGACTGAGGGTGTTTGAGAACAGGGTGTTGAGGAGAATATTTGGACCGGAGAGAGATGAAGTAACAGGAGGCTGGAGAAAACTGCATAATGGGGAGCTTCATAACTTGTACTCTTCTCCAAGTATAATTAGAATGATCAAGTCAAAGTGGATGAGGTGGGCAGGTCATGTAGCACAAATGGGGAGACAAGGAATGCGTAAAGGATATTGGTGGGAAAGCCAGAAGGAAAGTGACCACAGGGAAGACCAAGGCATAGGTGGGTGGACAATATTATAATGGATCTTAGAGAGATAGGATGGGATGGTATGGATTGGATAGATCTGGCTCAGGATAGGGACCATTGGAGGCTCTTGTGAACAGGGTAATGAACCTTCAGGTTCCATAAAATGTTGGGAAATTCTTGAGTAGCTGCCGAATTGGCAGCTCCTCCAGAAGGGCTCAGCTTCATGAGTAAGTAAGTAAATAATTAAATGCCCACTTTTGAATAGAGAAGGAGTTCTTATATATGTGCTCAAGGCCTTCCATACAGTTCTTTCTATATGGTATCTCCATGTCATCCTCCTGCTGAAGGTGACACCAAGATATGCTATATTACGTGTATTTACAAAGTGAATGTCTCACCTGCAGAGTTGTATGTCATAACGGACTTCTGGAGAAATAAATTGCCTGAGTTCCCTTTCATTGATCTTTGTGTTTCACCTCTCACACCATGAATTTGCTGCAGTGAGTCCTCCTTGCAATTTCTCTGCAGTATAAATACAGGTATCGCCATCAACACAGTAGGATGAGTGCCAGGTGCCGCAGAGGCATTATGTTCACCTTCTACCAAGGCTTTAAATGTTCTGTCAGTGAAAAAAGAAATAATTAGGTCAGTGGGGTTTGTTGAAAAATCTTACTCTGACAGTTTATATAGTGGGCCAAAGTGCCATGTTATGTCGAAGACTTTCTCGATATCCAATACAGCGGCCATCTGCATATTATTGCTGGTGACGTGATCCACCAGCCTCATGCAGTGGAGTGTCATACTGTGATCTGCTCAAGAGGCAAACTGACTTGCATTTAGTATTCAGTTATTCAGTATTGAGGGGTGGGTTTCTCCATGCACCACGACTAATAGTCTATTGTACGTCCCCCTTTCTTAATTTCTACTGTCTCCATACCCTACCGGTACTGGTGCTCACTATCAGCCCCTTTCTGCCAGTGAGGTTTCAGCCTTCTACTGGCAGTGGTATCTGATAATTAGTCCCTCCTCTGGCAGTGGTACCTAATGCTTCCCCATCTACTGGAGGCATTGGAAAATACTTGGGCAGCAAACTTTATGCCTAATTTAGCTCAGAGGTCTCCTTGACACACGAGGTTCTTTTACATGCCGTAAACCTATGACATGGGACCCACGGCTTAAAGTCCCTCCCAGAGGACTTGTTCCCTGAATTTTTCTGCCCTTAAAAATTCCACGACCTCCGCCGGGTTTGAACCTGCATACCTTGAGTCATGAGGTGGGAACGTTACCCCTAGACTACGGAGGCTGCTTTGCATTTAGTAAGTTTCTTTCCTCAGTGAGTTTTTGGAGTGTTCTTAAAATCAGCTTCTCAAATAGTTTACTCATAGTTGACAAGAGGGTAATCAGACATAAATTTGGGGGAATTTAATTGAGCAAGAGCCTGTTTATGTGACAAAGGCCACCCAGACTATGCTAGGCAGGACAAAACTGTTCTGGCTTGGGAAAAAATTTCACATGAGATGAAGGAATTTGGATCCAGGTTAAGTTCTTTCGAAACAATGTAAGCACCGCAGTTTAAATTGTTCCAGAAACACGGATGCACCCAATGTTTTCTTTGCCTAATATTGTATTTATTTATTTTATTTATTTATTTCGTCTCTATAGATCATTGTTACATGATATAGGACAAGTCACTTACTGTACATTGGCTGATTACAATAAGAGAATAAAGTTACAATACTTAAAATTGTTTACAATAGATTACAGTAGATTACAATAGTTAAGATTTCACATAGTGTGAGGTGGAGTCCATATTAGGTCCCCTCAGCATGTCAGCTTCCATATTTCCTATTGTACCTGCACTGGTGATAATGCTTATGGAGAATTTGATGGAATGAGGATAGGCAGGGGAAGCCAAAGTACTCAGGGAAAACCTGCCTCAGCGCCCCTTTGTCCATCACAAATCCCACTTGACTAGACCGCAACGGTGGGAAGCCAGCGACTACCCGCTTAAGCTATGGCGCGGCCTTTGAGATAATATTGGTGAATTTGGTGATAGCACTGGTATAACGTTTCACTGTAGACTCTACACTGCAACATCTCATTACATCTGTTCTCCCTTCCTGGTGCAGCTTCTTGGCATCTGCAATCTCTCCAGAGCAGCCCATTCAGGTATATCTCCGACTGTGTTATCTTGGTTGCTGGAAGAAAGAAAGGAAAACTGCGCAGTAGGGATTCCCAAAACCGATATTCATGAATTATGTGATTATAATTGATTAGTGTTTGTCTCACACGAGAGAAACTCATCCACTTTATAAAAACAATAATCGAGTAGGTAAGTTTTCAAAGCGCTTTTGAACTTATATAGTACCAGTATTTCTTTAATATATCATGGCAGATGATTTAGCAGTCAAAGTTCTACATTGTTAAAGTTGTTCTTGCATAGACTTGTATTACATGGGACGATGTGCAAGTCGTCTTTTTTCCTTGTGTTATATGAGTGTAATCCTGAGCTGGTTGTGAAATCATTCAAATTGGATTTTATGTATATTAGAGTTTCGTATATGTACAAAGATGGTAGAGGTAATATATGTAATGGTTTGAAAATTTGTTTACAACTAGTCGTTTTTGGGACCTAGGTCATAGCTCTTATAGCTCTCTTCTGTAATTTAAAGATCAATTTTGCATTTACTGAGTTGCCCCAGAATATCAGTCCATATGATAACAAAAATTGGAAATGAGCATAATATAACGTGCGGACAGTCTCGAGTCCAGTTACTCTTCTAACTACACTTGGGCCAAAACATATTTTACAAGTTGTTCGCTGGCTTTTGTCTATGCATAGTCCATCTTAGATGCTTATCTAGCCAGACTCCCAGAAATTTTGAGTGATCTGTGTAGTTGATAACTGTGTCATAAATCTTTATTGGAGGGCATTCAAGTTGTAGTTTTTTGAGGATGATGGAAGGCTATTGCTACTGTTTTCTCTTTATTAATAGTTAATCGATTCCTCTCAAACCACTCTGTGATTTTGTTTATAGTTTCATTTGTTTTCCTTTGAATTTCGTTGGCGCTATTTCCTGCTATAAAAATGCTAGTATCATCGGCAAAGAACGTAGGTTTCCCATGTTCAATGCTGGCCTCCAGGTCGTTTATGTATAACAGAAACAACACTGGTCCCAGAACAGAACCTTGTGGGACGCCATAGCTGATGGGTCTCTTTCGGGATAGGTAACTAATGTTAATGCTTACTTAAGCATCCTGTTGCGTCAATATATCATTTATTTCCCATATATTTCCGTCTTAAATACAAATTACGTATTATAGAGTCACCCTTCCACACTAAATGGTTCGGCTATATAAGACCATCATATGGTGCCTTCCATCTTGCTAAAATTGTTGCACTGTATGTCAAAATTTCGTACGGCGTGTGAACGTAATATTTCCTACTTAAAATAAATTGACCTTAATTAAAACAAATTAATTAATATTGCAACATTTTCCTCATGGTTGTCGTCCTCTCTTCACGCCGTCTTAACCGGTCTGAACGGTCTGAACTATGTCACCTACCACCATATTATTGGAGGATCACCATCGATCACCACTATTATCTGCCATTGCAGGAGGTCAGTGAACGAAATTAAAAAGTACAATCATGCATTAAATCGGACGAACATACCCACTTAACATTGCTTAAGATGATTTGAGCAACTGATCAAACATAGGTTTCTTCAGTGTACGCCTGCTAACCTGGAAACCAGTTGCCTATTTGAAATCGGCGATTCTTCCCGGAAATTGCGGTTGCGTTGCCGTTGCCAGTTTCCTTGGGTATGCTCTCGCCCTGTGAATGGTTAATCCAATTTGAGTACACTCACTTTCACCTTTAAAACTGAGTAAACTTTGTTTACTACGAGGGTGTAAAAAATATTCATTGAAATGATAGGTATAAAGCACATAAAGCCTGAATTGACTGCTAGAGGAGACAATTATGTAAATCACATGATTCTGTTTCGCACACTAAACTTTCGTTACCACCGCCTATTGTTGAATTCATTCGGCCTTCTATCATAGATGTCACGGGCATACACCCAACATTCCCTCTAACGAATCAATTAGTAGCAACCGACTGTCAATGTGACTAAAATAATCTGTGAGAGCACCCATGCGTGAATTATAAATCGATTACTGATTCGATAATTGGACCGAATTTGTTACAATGGACGATTTGCAGAAAGTGGTATTTTAATTCGTGTGCGTTGAAATGTGTCATGCAAGCTGTGTTGTATCATTGATAAGTATTTTCGAATAAGTACTGTCATTTTCGTTGTTAATAAATCTGTGCGTAAGTATTTGAGTATCTTTAAAGCTAACATGTGCTTATAGTAACTTTCTTGCATTCAGAGTGATGCTGGAATTATGTTAGCAAGCCTGTCGGATCGCTTGAACCAATATTTAAAAACACTGTACATGAATGGTTGTAAAATATTGTCTGTAACTGGTATGCCAGGTTCTGAGAAGCCGTTGTAACAGAATAAACGTTGCACATTTAAATCTTCTTAGTATCGCCTATTCAAAATTGTCAATGACAGTCACATTACATTATTATTGAATATCCTTTGTTTCATAATGAATGGTGTGTTTCTGTGATTAATATATCATCTTTTAGGCAGTCTAATGTGGAATGAGAAATGAGGCGGTGTGCTATGTTTTTAGGTACTGAGTGATAAGGAGCCGGTATAGCGTAGTTGGTATAGCGACTAGCCACGGGCTGGATGACAGAGGGCTCGGAGTTCGAGTCCTGGTAGGGTCAAGAATTTTCTCTTTTTAAATCGTCCATACTGGCTCTGTGGTCAACCCAACCTCTTATCCAATGGGTACTGGGAACTCCTTCCCCGGAGGTATAGCAGCCAGGACACAAAGCTGACCACTCACCTCCAGCTAGTGCTGAGGTTAAGAAAATGTGGATGTATACATCCACTCCCCCATATGCCTTCGTGGTATAGTGCTTAATTAGTTAAGCACAGGGAAAACCTTGCCTTTTTTTTACCTTAGTAATAACTGATTCTTGAGCTGTCTTTCAAATTTGATTTGGTTGTGTTACTACTGACTGAACTTCGTCAGTTTTTATGCATTGATATGTTGCAAATAAAAACAGTGTTCATCTGCTACCTTTAACAGTGCCAGACTTTCTGCATCTTTAAAGGTGTCGTAATATATAGATCTGAGAGTTAAGACATGTTTTGGTCTCTTATCTGACAGGTAAAACATCTGTGTTTGGTGATGATGCTATGTGTGTATGTGTCCTCCCTATAATTTTTGGACAGTTTGATAAAGCATACTGGTGCATTGGTAGCCCTCCAGACATATATTCTGTAGGTGCTCAGTACAAATCTCAGGTGTGACACTGGCCATCATAACAGGTTTTTGTGGTTTTTATTCAGGCCTTACAGGCAGATGCTGGAATAGTACCTTGAATGAATGATTGAATGTATGAGGGATTTATTTTGAGAAGTATTGTTTATGTTTTCTTAAATTTGTAGGTACTCATACACTCATACTCAAGTTCTGTAGATGTTGCATAACAGAACTTACATGAAAGACCATGGATCTGAATAGTGATGATCTGCATGATGATAGACTTGAAGAATTCAAGGAATTTGAAGGTTCTGAACCAAGAGAAGCTAATAAGAAATCATCAGCACATTCATTTCAGATGAGACCCAATTTTAATGAGAGGTTAATTGTCTTTTTCTTAACTCATTTACTGGTAATAAAGAAGAATAGATCAGTCAGCTGTGTGTTAGCCAGTATCTGCCAGAGTTCCAAAATTTGGACAGAGATGCAATATTTCATTCCTCCATATCTATTATTACTTTCACATTTAAAACTCAGTCAGTCAGCTATTGAGCTAGTTAGAGAACTGCTGAGGTTCAGTCATTGTGAGCTGTTACTGTGAGAAGCTGATAGCTGAGACCAAGGACAGTTCGGAAACCCAGAGGAAGGGGAACATCCACTGTTGGAAGCTGCTACTGAGCAATAGCTAGTGAAGACATGACTGTGGACAATAAATAGTGTGTGTGTGTGCGTGCAAGTGCACACAAGCTGAATCAAAGTGTCAGTAAATCTGATTACCAAACCAAATTGTGTCTGTAGTCACACTCTTATCACGTGACAACTCTCAGTGCACCTAGGACATTCCAGTATGTTCATGTATATGTCATAGTCACCTAGGACGTGCTGCTTGCACCCTTACTTTCATACACTTTCATTTTCATTTACAACCCTACACACCACATCTAATGTGCATGAGTGTGGCTATAGACAAGGTTTGATTTGGTAATCAGGTTTATTGGGCTATTTGATACACAACTAATGACTGTGCACGCATGTGCGCACATATGAACACCTGTGTCCACAGTCACAGCTTCACTAGCCATTGCTCGGTAGCAGCTTCCAACTCTAAATGTTCTGCTTCCTCTGATGTCTCAAACTGTCCCTGGCCTCGGCCGCAGAAGCTCTCAACTCTCTAACTCCACTCAACTGTCCTGCTTATAACATCTCAGCATGGACGTAGAAAACACTGCTTCCTCTTACTGCTGTATCCAGTTGTTCATGTGCAGACATGCTTGTTTGCAAGCAATTACTCAGTAATTGTTGTCTCTGCTGGCTTCACAGTTCTTACCTTGAGCAAATATGCCACAGTACTTAGTAACTGACTGACTAATTCCATGGAACCGAAGCCTTCTTGGGAAGCTGCCAGTTCCTCATTTACTCAGGAATATTAGTTAATTAATTAATTAGTTAATTAAGGAATTAATAACTTTGGAATTAGACATAGAGAACGGAAATGCCAGTTAACTCATAAGTGAACAGTGATTGTTATAATGGAAGCACTGTAGAGTAATGTTAGGGGCAGAGATTGCAAATGGGAAGGCTGTCAAATTACAGGGCACAGGGAATTTTTCTCTTGGTCAGTTGGGGTCACACAGCACAGCAGAGGATGTAAATTCCATTTTGAAAGTTTTTGATCCTGTTTTCAATAATGAGTTTACAGAAGAGCAGTAATTGAGATAAACACTCATGCAGAATAATTAGTAATATCAAAGGGAGCATATGTTAAAAACAAAATCTTCACTGCATCTTTTGAAACTGGTGAGGGACATTGGATGAAATTTGTACTTCGGATATTTATGTGCTAATGGTATGTTGGCATTTTGTGGACTTGTGCACCAACTTTAAATACTAAGGTAATGTAATCATATCCCTGGTATTCTGCAGATCTTACAGCACTTGCCAACAAAATTTGAAAGGAATTTGTTTAAATCTGTGGAAGTTTTGGCATTTCAATCCAAGCACACAGTTTTTTTTTTTTTTTTTTTAAATCAGATCCTATTTCTTACATTTTGGGGTTATTTAAGCCATCTTTTTGCAAAAATTGTCAGTATAGTGTGATGGGTTCCAAATTGAAATTTCAGTTCCTCTGATTCACAGGGGTTTGTGTCCCCATTTTCTCATCTTCCTTGATTCAGGCCGAAAATGCAAAAACACTTCTGCGTCATGTACAAGGGAGCTCAAATGACTTCAAAAGCAGCACCATGTATGTTACTGTTTGTAGGTTCCAAGCAGCGACAGTGAAGGAAGTGATCCATGGTGTGATGAATGATGAGTTAGGAGGAAAAAAGTATGCAGTTGAAGAAGCTGAGGTTTGGACTAAGAATATTGCAACCTCTGTACGTAACAAGGTGAAAGGTAAGAGCTAAATACATAGTGGAACCTTTTATTCTATTGACTACAAGCCTGGCATATGTACGATATGAAATTCACTTTTTACCCCTGCTTCTATCATCTGACTCATATGACATTTCCCATATCATTTTAGCTTTGTTGTATTGTGGATTTTTAGCTTGGTCTCTTATATGGGTTCAGATAGCCATGGAAGCCAATGCACTTGTAAACCATCCCACCTGCAGGCATGCACACTTATGCACTCATTCACTCTCTTTCTCTCACACACAAACACACACAGACAAAATAGCATCATAAGGATCAACAACTCCCACACAAGAGTTATTACAGGTTTCAATGCAAATGATGATGTTGCATCTTAGTATAACTTTAACTCAACTGGTGCAGTTTGTCTCTCATCTGTCTGATAGGCATTCCAAAAAATGACAATTGCAGCACAACGAAGGTTTTTGTAAGTGCAGTGTTCAACAGAAATGCACCCACGTTAAATTCTTCAATCTTCCATTCCCCACATGACTTCACTTCATAGAGACCAAATTTTATTGTCCATGAATTTCATAGCAAGAGGATGATATATGGATAATAAAGGACATGGCTGGGACATTGGTCCCTTCCATGTGTCATGGAGTGAACATCACAGTTGAGTGGGTAGTATTAAGTTCTCAGAATGGAGGCCAGCTGCCAAGACCGAAGGTTTCCATGGTTCATACATACAAGTGGTTGGATAGCAGCATATAAACCATGATCATTTCCTTCCCAGTTCATCATTCACATTATCTAATTTGATATTGTGTATTCTATGTAGCTGTAAATAAACCAAGGAAGAAGTCTAGAAAGTATAGACTGTAGGAAGACCAACTTTCAGAGCTCTATGGCAACCTTACAACTCAAATCTGATCCAGTGTTATAACTTCCTGAAGAAAGCCACGAGGAAATACCTTTTCTAGTGATAAACTGAAATTTTCTTCTTCAGTTTAAGCTGAAGAAGTTGACTTCTATTTAAAAGGAATTAATTCCTTAGAATTGAAGTGAAACAAATGCAGTGCTTTTTTCTGAATAAATGTTTGCCAGTACTCTAGTGTTCTTAAGCCTTGAGCCGTGCGTCCCTTGACCATGCGGGTCGGGAACCCAGTTCCCTTNTCTTGACAAGTTTGCCACTGTGTATACCAGCTGGAGAAAGCAGTGAAGAAATGTATTATTTTGAATGATGGCTATATTTAAAATTAAAATATATATTTTCTCATAGGAGATTGAACCTTGTGCAATAAGAATGGCAGCTGCAAATAGAACCTGAAATTGAGAGGCAGGGTAGGCAAATTGAAGTGGTTTATATTGGCTCTGGAAACTGTAATTAAAGTCTGAACTGAGAGACAGATACCAGTGTTGGTCAAGGATTCTGTTTACAATATTATATTTCAGCATCCTGTTACACTCACACAGTATATATGGATAAATACCGTCTTAAGTGCAACAAATTTTATTGTACTTTTTACTTCTTTTCCTCCTCCACACTACATGTTTCGGCCCTAAATGGCCATCATCAGGTGTGTATCACTCACNAACACATGAACAACGATAAAAACAAGAAGTGGCCGCTGCAGCACCGTAGATATAGGGCATGTACCCTGAAAAAATTTTAACTAAAAATTTGAAAAAAGAAAGAACAGAGATCTTATAGACATTTTAACTTGAATTAAGTTTTAAAAAGTGCTAATTTAAAAATCAAATCGACGCGTGTAGATTAACAAAGATTTTATACAATTAGAAAGACTGGTAATTTTAAATTTTAACAAGCAGTGTAACAGCTATGTGAGTGATACACACCTGATGATGGCCATTTAGGGCCGAAACATGTAGTGTGGAGGAGGAAAAGAAGTAAAAACTACAATAAAATTTGTTGCACTTAAGACGGTATTTATCCATATACAAGGATTCTGTGTTTACCATCTTATGCAGTTGAAGTTCCCTACAGGAACAGGATACCTCAGCTAGCATAAGACTGAAATATGGTACCGAAGTCTGCTATCTGATGTTACAGGGCTGGGGTTCAAGAGGTATAAGTATGTGGTGCAAGTTGTGCTTGGGGAACAGCATGGAGCTGGAGTCAAAATTGGCTCCCGCTGCCTTTGGGATGCCGATACAGATAACTATGCCAGTGATGTATTCTGGAATGTGAGTAATCACTGCATCATAAATAACTGCTGAAGAATATATTGGTTTTGTGAAAGGGAGAATTTAAAACAAAATGTGAAATTACCATCTAAGTATGTCTTAAATTTATTTTCTTTTTTTATTATTCAAATTCTGCTACATTCCTGACATTTCAGGCATAAAATTACCATCTTTTGGGGGAAATCAAATCTTAAAGGAAACTCTACGATATGTATACTTAAACGATTTAAAACATCTGAATATTTTAAGTACAGTAATAACATTTTATAAGTAGTTAAAGTTGATTTTGAAGTTTCTTTCATATAAGTAGTTGTTGGATGCACTCTCATCAATTTAATGCTATCTTGTGTTGTATCATAGACTTATTCTAATTTTTATATAGTGAAAGTGGTGCACCATTTGCTGAAACTGAGTCTCAACAAATGGCCCACTGTATCATCTCTGATTCAGTTGTATGTTGCACACTCCCAGGCTGGACACATGCATGTATCTGATCATAGAAACTCAATCACCTCCTCTTGAATATAGTTGACAGACAAAGAAAGGAGGTGTTGAGTAATGAAAAATATGTTTAATAACAAACAAACAAACTCCATGGTTTTCGTCCACAAGCAAACTATACTGACCGAGTGACTGCCGCTTGTCGGCGAAGTTAGTTTTAATATAACAAGAAAATGAGAAACTTAAAGAATATGCAATTAATACCTGCAAAACATTGCATAGAAAAACAAGTTACAGACTTCATAGATTCAGAACTACCCTGAGTAAATCAGCACAAGAATTGGTTTGGTTCCATGTCTTAGGTAAGCTGTAGCCTCACAATCACATAGGATGTGTGTGACTGATTCATCTTCTTGTAGGCACCTTTCACAAGTTGGGTCACCTGTCAGTCCCAGGTTGAAAAGGTGCCCTTTTAGGTGGCAGTGTCCAGTAAGTAATACTACCACCCATCTTAGTTGATCTCTGTTTAATTTTAACAGGTCCCTCATTCTTTTGGCAGAGGGTCCTGATATAAATCCTTTTGCCTGTTTGAGTCCAGTTGTGGATTCCCAGTGTCTTTTGTGATTTCTGTTAGTCCAGTCCCTGTTCACTTTCTTGGCAACTCCAATTGAGATGCTGCAAGCTGGTTCAGATCCTATGAACGGCTGTTCAGATCCTGTTCTTGCCAGCTGATCTGCGGTTTCATTCCCAGCAATACCCTCATGGCCTGGCACCCATATCAGCTGAACTATGTTATGTCTGGCCAGTTGTGTGAGGGATTGGTGGCAATCCCAAACCAATTTTGAAGTGATTTGATGTGTACCAAGTGCTTCAATTGAAGCTTGACTATCTGACAGAATATAGATATTCCTATTTTTGTAGTTTCTATCTAAATTCCCAACTGCGCATGCCTTAATGGCATACACTTCTGCCTGGAATAAATACTGTTGTCTACTGACCAAGGCTGAAACTACTTTTCTGCCCTGTTCCATCACAATACACTCCAGCTCCAGTGCCTTTATTTGTCTTGGAACCATCTGTATACCAGATTAGTCCCCTCTTTCTATCGGGTTGAAACCCCTCTTTTCATTCACTTCTATCCGGAAATCTGATCGTGAAGGGTTTATCATATACATGTTTTGGTATAATTTTATCAGATCCCATCCGTAGGATGGGTTCCTTTTCATGTCCTGAATCATGTATGCAAGTCCAAAACCTTTAGATTTTGGTCTCTATTGATCATTGCAACATAGTCTGTAATTTCCTAACTTGGTCTCTGCTTCCATCTGCAGATGCAGTGGGGGGAGTCCTGGTAGGATTTCCATTGCAGCTGTTGGAGCTGTTCTCATTGCTCCCATAATTCCCAAGCAGGCCATCCTTTGCAGTTTGCTTAGTTCAGCCTGACTTGTTTTGAGTTTAACTCTAGGCCACCATATAGTGGCAGCATAGGTAATTATGGGTTGTACTGCAGCAGTGTATATCCAATACACCACCTTTGGTTTCAGTCCCCACAAGAATTGGTTTAAGATTGTGATTCTGTTAAGGGTAGCATTTTTGCTATACAAAACAAGCTTTTGGCAGAACTAGAAACACACATAGTTAATAATGCTCACAGAGCAATCAGATTTCCCATTTTGCATAATACCAGACACAGAAAGCAATTAAAATTAGCATGAGATAGAGTATTCACAAATACAGTACAAACAATGACCACCTTGTTTTCAAACAAGACTCCATATTTAACGAGATTAATTTGAGTAACAACATGATATACTTGCCAAAAAAAAGGGCACAAATGAAATTCCTTGTCGCTTGCTGTAATAGCACATACTTTACCCAATGCCAGCAGCACACATTGAAGGCCTCTCGCTTAAACAACCCCGCAAGCAGCACGTGAACTTAGATTTACAAATATATACAGCACAGCATGGCATTAATAACAAACAGAATATTGGACGTTAGAGATGGAGTGGGGTTGAGCATGCACATCCCAACAGACAGGTTTCTGTGCCAGAACAAATTTAAGGGATCAGATTGGTAGGAAAGAAATGCACAAAAGTGACATGAGTATGCTTAGGGGGAGAAAGAGAAGATGACATCAGGAAGATCACAAAGGTTGATAACTAAGATGGGACCAGCCGAATCAAGTGTCAGTATGAAGATGTGCAGCTTTGTTGTATTGGCTTGTGGGAGGTGAAATATTGGATGTATTTGGATTGTTATTTCACATTTTATTTTAATGAAGTAAAGTACATTGCCGAAAGTGGGGCACACAGTGGTGTAGTTGGTTGAGGCACTATGCTACAAGCTGGAAGGTCACTGGTTCTATTCCAGATGAGGTCATTGGATTTTTCAATTGTCCTAATAATTAGGAATGAGTACCAGGAATCTACCTGGGGGTAAAGGGCTACCGGCATGTGAGATTGACAACTTCACCACCATCTGTGAGCTGACTGTCTAGAAAATGTGGGATCCTCAACATCTCACAGCCACATGGCGACTCCAGCAAACTAGATTGTTTCAAACTCATTTTGTCTTCCACAATAACACTAAACTAACATTAGCTAAGAGTATGATACAAATATTCATTGTGTATTGTAGCGTGTTTTGTGCGTCACGCTACAAATAAACTCACGTCGTTGTCCGATATAGCGAATTTTTATTGCGTTCGCTTGCCTTACACACACTTTACAATCATTTCCACTTGCAGTGTTACAATTACTGCTTACAATATCTCGGCGGTACTGGACTCTTTTCTCTGGCGGTTGTTCTAAGACTCTCTTCTTTGACGGCTGGATAAAGACTCACTTCTTAGGTGGCTGGACAAAGACTCACTTCTTAGATGGCTGGACAAAGACTGACTGCTTCTCGCCGAAGCTGGGCTATTTATCCCCTCGGCCGCTGCTAGGTAAATGAACCCTCTGTTATAGCAGTGGAAACGTTGCTTTGTTGGTTCCGCATTTCCTACGCAATGACCCATTGTTATTGCGTTGTCTCTGTGGGAACGCTTCGCGTATTCGTCGTAACCGTGGAGATTCGATGTTCTCGACACAACGGCTCACTGTTGGGATTACAGTGCCGCTATTGTTACTTCCTATGCAACGGTCTGTTCTAGCGTTTCCATAGAAGTGACTCTTCTGGATTCCCGACACATTACAGTATATTAAAACCTTATTAATTCAAATTGATTTGGTTTCTGAAATTTTTATTTTAAAACATAATTTCAAGTTATACAGTTTTCATCACTAACATTGCCTAGAGGTATTATAATTGAAGCTAATGTTATTAACAGCGATAACTGCTAGTAGTAAACACTCATTCTGTGTGTAGAGGAAGCTACAATTTTATTACAGATATTTTAATTGTGCATAATGAAAATCACATGTATTAAACATGAACATTAAATATATTAAGAAATATACAGTATATGTCTGTTCAACAAATACAAAACTAAAAGGACAGTACAACTTGAGCTTGCAACTAATAGTTCTAGAACTTGATTTCTCAAGCAACACACAGTCAGTTGAAAGCAGAACAGGTGACCTTATTGTTAGTGGCTTGACACGGAATTTAGATGGATTATTGAATTTATTACTTCTCACAGCTTATTCACTGTCTCACATGCAAACTTGTGTTAAAATCTTAAAAGTCACATTTTTTTTTTTTTTTTAAATTATTTTTATATCGCTATTATACTACACGTTTTGAACGATATGATCATCATTAGATGCTTTGAAAATTGCTGTTGAAAAAAAAAACATGAATTTTAGTGTTTTAACACAAGTTTTGCATGTGAGGCAGTAAACAGGAGGTTGTAAGTGACATGCAACAAGATGCTGCATTGAATTTGTTGATTACTTATTATGCCTAACTGCAAATAGTTACGGCAGTTTCACTGTCCTGCACACACATTTTATATTGGCATAACCATTTAATATTCCTCCTTTCAGCATCTATAACCATTGCTTTTTGGTCACATGCCTCCACAGTTTTGTCCTTTGAAAAAGCTTCCCTTGATTTATGATTCAAATCCAAGTTAAACTTAAAATAGTTGACTCTCAACCATACAACCGGGCAGTACATCATTGTAAGAGCAGCAAAATTGAAACCTAGCAAGAAACTAGGAAACAGTAAAATCTAATACCACCACACTAATAACAAACAGCCATAACAAGGACTGCTGTCTTAACCTTATTGTTCTGTATTCCAGGAATCCATATTTTGCATGACAGTTGTGTTTGCCATCTACTTCTACTGAAGAGTCATCTTGATGTGTTTGCCATTGTCACAGTTATATTTCTTGGATATTTGCTTGCCATCTTCTTCTGCTGAAGAATGATCTTGGTATGTCAGCCAGTATGAGAGTACTATTCCTTTGATATTAATTTTTGTGAAAGTTGTTGAGAATGTTTAGCTGTGCATTACTTCTCTTTTTCAGTCTGTGGTAAAAAAGTGATCACCAAACTGTTGAATACAGTTTTATGGTTTAACTCATTAATGCCCAGTGGTTTATTTATAAATTGGCATTTCTTAATTTTTCATAGACAAATTTTTATGTATATGTAAACAGGAAAGTAATATCTCAGTTTTTTATGATTGCTGTCTAAACTCCATGGAACGGTATCCATTTTGACAAGCTGAGAGCCTCCTCTGGTCAGAAAATTTCCCCTTCTTCATAGATCCCAGAATATAGCTGTGGAATTTTCAAGACGTTAAATACTGGAAAAACTAGAGCTGTAACATTTAGGGGAACAAAATTAATTAGAAGTAAGATATACATTAATCATAGGACACCTGATGGACCAAGGTTATTGTGTGCTGGTGTATTTTGGACCATAAGAAAAACTGATGAGAGAATATTGGTTTCAGCAGAAAAGCGTTTTACGAAGAGGACTGTGGGATATACCCTTTTAGACCATAAAGATGATTCTCTGGTGATATGAGCACCCACACTATAGTTGCTTCTACCACAGAAATCACATCGGCACATAGCAGCCATAAGGTTTTAAACAGATTTATCACAAAATATTTCATTTCCATTTTAGTACAGTTTTAATTTTTATGTTTTAATCTTTAGTCTCTAATTTTAAATTTTATTATCTGAGTATTTTAAAATTTTAACTGAAAGATTCAGTTTATATATTTAAAAACACTCAAGTGCACAATAAGGATCCTTATTGAAGAATTAGGTTTAAATTGTTAGATACAATTCAACAACTGAGTCTGGTGTCATTGTACACCTGATGATGACCCAGTATAAGGGTTGAAACATGTAGCATCAACAAAAACAAATTTTGATATGATAGTGTCTACTTTGTTTTAAATACAGAATATTGTTACCTGTATGTAGACTGGATACTTTTGTATGCATTTTATGTATTTTGTTTATAACACAACAGGATGCATACTATTAAGAAAGATTTAAGCTTTGGTCACTAGTTAGACTACAGAGCAACAAGTTTTAAACCAGTCTAGTCCAGAGTTTTATACTGCTGGCAAGTCCACTACAGCGTTCAGTACACATTGGTTTATTTATAATTGTGCATAACAGATTCAGCCTTTAGTTGTGATGAAAATATAAGAAACAAAACCCATCATCCTCTTCATTTCATTCCAATTGACTAAATGATTATGGTACAGATCTGCCTTTATTGAATTGTACTGTTTGCTTTTACTGAGTGGTTGGATTTTCCAGTTCACTTTGTCTATAAAATATATTAGAAGGTACATAGAAAATGAAGACGGAAGTGTATTTAAATGTTTGGATAAGTTCTTATTTTCTTATTTAGTGGCCACAAAATAAGTAAGAAGTAATATTAATTACTTATGAATATGGTATAGTTAGGTATTTATTAGGTGCAGACTATCCCAACCAGTTTTTTACAACAAAATGATGTATGCATCCTTTGACATTTGATGCATTCTCCCTGCAGCGAATGTAGACCATATTGAGAGATAAGCCACTTAATAGGTGGATAGGTACCAAACTTAGATATAATGAAGCAAGAAGGACATATGTTTTAAGCATTTTACAGAAAAATCCCATCTCGTCTTAGTTTAAACCAAGGCTTTATTTCTGTCAGTAAACTATGCTAGTATTGAGATAGACTTGAAAGGATTCTGACGATGGTGTATACTGTACTTCTTTTGGCTTATTTTGGACTTCACCCATCGTCTGGTATGTAAAAGACAAAAGACCATGACGTTTCAGAGACTGGATCTGTCTCCATCTTCAGGTGGATAGGGAAGGATAAACCTACTCAGTTGGGCCCATTAGAAAGAGCTAGTCTCAATCACTGGACAAACCCCGGTCTGTGGAGAAACAACCTATGAACAACTAGAGAATTTTCTCAGGTCATCAATTAGTAGCTTGGACCAACAGCTGGAAAGTTCATTTAGAAACATTTTTAATAAGCAAAAAGGAATCCATATTCACAAGTTCTCCATGCTCAAGAGTCGTTGTGACAAGGTCAGTTCCAACCCAGCTAGTGGTTCTAAAAAATTTGTTCTCAATCTCTCAGAATACACTCTTACAGACCATGAGGAGTCAGTCCTTAGGAAGTGTTGTGGCCTGAAGGCCGACTCCCGGTAATATGTTAACAGAGTATTAACTTTTTTGTATTTTGGGGGAAAATGTTGGTTAGAATAGAATTAGTCTTGGGAAATACTTGTAAGATGTACGAAAGAGGATGTAAGAAGGGTTAAGGAACTTCAAGGAATTTCTGCATATGGAGTTAGACGGCCGTTAGCCTTTGAGGCGTCGATGTCT